CAGGCTTCAGCAGGAGTTTCAGCAATCTGGGTAAAAGAGGGGCAACATGCTGCAGATAACACCCCTGCACCCCCACCCCTCAGAAAACCAGAAAGGTCTGTGATCAACACCTACTGTTTCTATAGTTTGTGATGTAGGAATTATCTGCAGTAAAACATTTGTAGTTCCATAGTGAAAGTGTGGAATTTAATTATTGGATGTTAAACATTTGCATTGTTGTGCTTGGTTGGCTCACCTGCATTTGCAAGAGGAAAACACAAGACTTGAGGAATTGTGCTTTACTTTTTAAAATACAGACATTAAAATGTTACAAAAACAAACAAATAAAAAAAAACAAAGACAAGAAACAAACTGAAATTTTGTGTAATATAAATGCAGTTTCCACCATGTCTTTTTCACACTTTGATGAGGTAAAGCTTGAAATGGACATAAATCCAGAAGTTGCAGTACCAGCAGGGGGAGATATGTTAACATGTATTTTATTTCATCCCATATCACAGCAAAGCATGTAATAGACATGCTGGTCCACCATGTCCATTTGAATTAAACATACGTGCTTAAGGATTATTATATGCAGAGGTTGCGATACCAGCAGGGGGGAGAACAATATAGTTAAAGCCAAGAAGTGAGCAAGAAAGGTATGAACTACATTCCTCAGTCACCAGAAACAATTAAGCTAGGTAGGTAATATGTATTTACATGTAAACGTGTTAATAATGTCTGTTTAAACACTTTCCCATGATTATTTTCATCTTGGCTTGAAATAAAATAAACTAAGGCTACAACCCCACACACCAAGACAAATCCCTATGCTAATAAGGACACACGTGATCTTTCTCTTGGTATTTAGATATGAACACAAACCTGACAGCACAAATCAAAGCTGAAAACCAGCACAAAGAGACTTTAAAGTGATCTACACAGTGATTGTACCGCAGAAACATGGACAGGGAGAAAGCTTCAGTCTGACTGCTCACCAGTTTGTTACCTGTTCAAGTTCAGCAGTGGCTGGCTTGACAGTAAATGATCGCTCACTTTATCAGAGTGCTGGGCTGGGGCCAGAGGTGGGTCAAGTATCCAAAAATTGTGCTCAAGTACTGAGTAACTGGTTGTAATGTCTGATTTATTTTTTCACTTTTTTAAAAAATAAATGCTATCATACAAACAAAAATAAATAAATATAAAAAATTTTAGTATTTTTAAATAGAATATATGTAAAAACATTAACAAATTAAGGCACAACAATTCGAATTTCCAGATTTCAGTTTTTCACAACATAAAGCTTTTAACCAATATCTACAGTAAATAATATGAATATATGAACAGTGCAAACCATTTCCAGTGACAAGATGTGCTTTATACTTTATATTCACTTTTGCTCCAAATGGCACAGCAGCCTCAGAAAAAACATTAGAGCGAGGCATCTTCAACATATGTACATAGAAGTTGGCTCACTTTACCATATTGTATGGGTGTGCATCAATTTCGGCATATTTAGTAAAAATGCGCCATTTCTTCACTCAGTAAGGTGATGGTTGAGCTTCAGCAGCAGTTTGCTCTCAAGGTTCTTGCTGTGAAGCTGTACCTGTTCAGGAGTGAACAGGAGTCTCGCACAGTCTTTCACAAGCTCCAGATGCAGGAAGAGCTGTATTGATTTTGACTGACAGCTTCTTGATGTGAGGAAAGCTATGCAATCAGTCGTTGGCAACCCTGGGCACTTGTGCCACAGCTGGCACGCTAAGGATTAACTGATGGCACAACACGTAGTGAATTAATCTGAAAAGGTGCATTAAAAAATAAATATCTACAGCCAGGCCAAAGGTGCACATCGGAAATTAGCTCGCGTAGACACATTAGTTGTGCTGCTTCTTAATGATGGTATCTTAGCTAACAACTCCGACTACCAGATTCAGCTTGTAATTGGCTAAAAATCACTTCGCCTAGCAGTAAGAGGGACGTTACTAGCTGGCAGTTTTTTCAAGCGATGTTGAAATGTCCACATTCCAACACTGAAAAATGCTTCAGGTGCTCCCCGCTCCGAAGACTCAAGACAGAATTCACTATGCGTTTTCAGGACTTTTAGGTGTATGGACCAATGTTTTCTTTTCTGATCAAACAAGAAAGCTTTAATGAGCAGCTGTTGTCTCTCTTTAACTGGCTGGAGACAGAAGACATCAAAATGCAGCTGACTGAACTGAAAAGCTCGACTACCTGACAAGTTTAATTGTCTTAAAAACATTGCACGGGCATTATTGACAGTATTTGGCTTTACGTATATATGTGAGCAGATTTTCTCTTACACGAAGAGTGTTCTCAGCACCTCCCGATAGCTTTCTGAATGCTAGAAACTCGGGGACCTGTGTCTCTGAGTGGGAGACCACAGATCACATTAACATGTGTATCCCTATGCACTGTAAAAAAAAAAAAAAAAAAAACGTTGCAAAAACTTAAAAACTCAAGGCAACCCATTGCATTTATGTTTTTAGGTCCTGATGGATAACTTATAATTTCAAGTTTAGGAGAAAAGTTGCTTCAGCTAATGTTTTTGTGTTTACTAAATTAATAATTGTGCTTTTTCTTAACTCATATTTTATTGTTTTGGCAACGTATTTCTTAAAGTTTACGCAACATTTTTTTTTTTTGTTTTGCCAATCAATTTTCTAAAGTTTAGAAAAAGTATAGTTGATTTTCAAATAACTTTGTGTTCAAACACAACTGCACCACTGACAATGTTGACTTTTGAGATCAGCCATTTTTAACATACTGACAACATTCAGCCACAAATAAAGTCCTTCCAAAAAACACAAAAAAAGTCACATTTTTCTAACAAATGTTACTCATTCAATTCTAAAGGTGTGGTACTGTCAGAAAGAATATCAAACTTATCTTAATTGATAGTCACTAACAAACAGATTCAAAACATCAGATGGCAGGATGTGAACAACTTCTATCTGGTTTTCATACAACAAACAACTTTCAAACAAATTTTTCCACCACTTGTCTTTTAATAGTAATAGTATCAACACTAATTTCCTCTGAAGTTCAGTATTGCGCCACATTTGTTATAAAACTAGTACAAATGTACCTAAAACCAGATTATAAAAATTGTTTAAAACAGTTCAAGTTAGAATAAACCCTTTAGACATTTTATAAAAACTTGTTATACATGAAATCTGCAATCAGTCATGCAAGCTACATTAAGTAAAGAACAGAAGAGATTGATTCAGAACTTTCTGCACCTTACCATTTTCTTAAAGCCAGAAATTTCCTTTTTTCAGAGCAACTTACCACAAAACCCAAAAACTGTAACTCAAAACAAATTTCTGCATACACAAGTTGCATTTGAGTTGAACATGTTGTCAAATAGGTTAGACTTTGGTTAAGAGCTTGGTTTTGAAGCTTCTTATCCTCTGGGAACAGGTAGATGTCAACTCCATAAAAATGTGTTACACAGCTTCAAATGTGTACTTGAGTTCTTTGAGAAACTCCATGGTGAGCCCATAAAGTAGGCCAAACAGGTAGGCAAAGGCAGTGGGAAGGTCTGGCAGATCATCAAGAATAATGTCCTCTTCCAAAACAATGGCAGTGTTGACCACTGTGGACTGCGAGTTGGGTCCCACATAGTCCTCCAGAACAGTGAGGATGCCCACTGTAACACTTCGGGTTGCCCTCTCAACTGGATCTGTATCCTATGCAAAATAAAAAAAACAACAGTTCATTAAGTCTCTGAAAACCAAAACTGAAGATTGAGTAGATCTGCATGCTCACCAGACATGTTAAGCTCTCTCTGTCCTGGTCGTTGTGTCCTTGGGCAAGACCCTTTACCCTACCACCTACTGGTGTTGGCCAGAGGGGCCAATGATGCGATATGGCAGCGTCGCTTCTGTCAGTCTACCCCAGGGCAGCTGTGGCTATAACTGTGGTTTCCCTGCACTGATGTGTGAATGTGAGAGTGAATAAGTAGTGGAATTGTAAAGCGCTTTGGGTGCCCAGCAAAGAGTGAAATAAATGCAATCCATTATTATACACAGTAAGTTGACAAGTAAATAGATTTCACTTCAATAGAGTTGTTGGTAATATCAAAATTAGCTTCATATTTTTAGAGCCAACTATTTTTTTAATATTTTACCATTAGCATTGTTAGCTCAACGGTAGCCTTCAACCTTTTCTACAAGATATTGGAGTGATACAAACAGATGTTTCTCAAGGGCACAAGAAATGGCGCTCACGTTCATTTACTCACCCAGACAAGTTTCGAGGCATTTGGAGTTGTTCAGAAGAAATTTTAAAGGTCCTATATAATGTAAAATCAACTTTTTGGAGCTTTTAAACACATTTTAATGTTATTTCCTTATATTAAAAACCCTCCAGTTTGGTTTTTGGCTTAATTCAGGCATTTCTTAGTTGTCTCAGTGAATTCTTTCCCCATAACCGTGGCTCAGCTCTCCTGCAAAATGACTGACTCGTAACATTGGGATTAAAATTTCTTTCTAACAACTTCAAATGCCTTGAATTTTGTCTGGGTGAGTAAATGAACGTTTTACATTCTAGAAATAAGACCGCACTGAAAAAAAACCAAAAAACTGAAGTTTTCCTTTAAATATTTAAGAGATTATCTTACCTGTTCGTTCAAGAAGAGAGCTGGCCATCTGAGCTGCATTTCCTTGACCAAGGGTTGAATCTCCACAACTTCTTTCCTCCTGAGAGAGAATGTGATGTCCATCTTTTGGGTGATGAGTGCCATGTTCTTATCCCTCTTCTTCATTTCATCTTCCAAAATGCATCTTTCATTTTCAAAAGACTCATCATTGTAGTTTTCTGGGGCATCAGGGATACAGTTGACTTCACCTCACTTTGATTTCTTTAAGGAAAATCTATTTGATCCACTGTCATCTTCTTCCCCTCTTCTTTTTCAATTGACTGCAACTTCACTACATCCAGCTTGACTTAGCTTGGAACGATAGTTGCCAAGCTTGAACTTAATGCTTGTTGACCAACCATCATATCCTGTGACATGATGCCTCTTTGAGGCAGGAATGTTTGGAAACTAGCTCCTGGGCAACCGATGTTATTTCATTCTTGTCAGGGTAGGCTTTGATTGCAAACATTTCTTGTGCCAGCTTGTGTAGAATTTCCATCTTGATGTCTCTTGTTACACTTAAATTTGCCCCTGCTTTCTCATATACCTCATTTCCCTTGCGAAGTTTTAACTCTACATCATAGGAAAAGGTTGGGATAGGAAATGGATTTGGCCACAGTGAAGTGCTACACATGTAGGTCTGGGTGGATGAGGATGGGCTGAAAGAAGATGCTGAACTCACGCTGCCTGTATCAATAGATGAGATGGCGCTATGATCAGATGGAGTCTGTGGTGGCGAGGCTGATGCATTTTCCTCCCAAATGAGGTGCAACACTGCCCGTCCAGCAGGTAGCTCATTAATATCCATCAGGTTGCAAAGTGCGTTCCGAAAATCTGGGTCTTCATATTGTATTGCAAAGTCACCTTCAAGTTCAAGCTTTGCTTGTAGTTCATCTTGAAGCTGCTTCACAGATTCTGGAACAGTGGACAGTTGGATTTTTCTGATAAGTTTTGGACTGACGTGGACTCGCAGTAACAGGGCCTATGAAGACAAACCAAAAAAAGGGCGCAATTCTAAATAATTAACAAATTCAAAGTAATCAGCTGAAAACTATTTAAGAATAATACATACCATCACTTTCAATGCAGGAGGCACATAACAGGTGTCCCCATCAGTTGTCCAGCTACACAGTATTCAGCTAAAGGGTGGTAATCATTCAAATCTTCTCGGTCAAGCATTTCCAGATTTTTATAGCTGCTGTCAAGCCGATATGATCTGTAATGTTCCATAAACCAAGAGGAGAGCTTTGTAGCAACAAATGACACTTTCCCAGAGTCCACCAAAATGTTCAGTATCTTGTAGAATTCAGGCAGTCCACTCAGTTGTCCTGATGAAATGACCATGCCTCTAACATACTGGGTCCCATACAGATAAACACATTTAGCAAATAACACAATTTTTACCTGTGGATATTTCAGTTTCAAGCACTTCTGAAGAGTTTCATTCAAGAAACAGATGTCAACTGTGTCAATATTATCAACATGCAGACTTGCATGCATACCCAAACTGTTTAACATCTACACTTTTACCAAGAAGAGCAAGCTGTATTGAGGGCAATGTAGAACGAAACCTTGCAGATATGTTGAGTACAACCCAATAGACGGCAGTTATTTTATGAATTTTTCGAGATGTTCCTGAAGGGTTGCATATTTCAAAGTCGTCAATATACAAAGCTAAACTAATGCACATATCTAGCAATCCTAAAAGCTTGTCTTTGAAATACTGCCCATCTCTAAATGATCTGTAATAATCTTCACTAATTTCTTTATCAAATGCTAACTTTTCAAAGAAACTTTTCTCTTTTAATAAGTTCTCCAACACCTGGTTTACTGAGACATAAACAAATGTATTTCAGGTTCTCGCTTTGTAGGTGTACTCTGTAGGCTCAATTACATGAAAATTATTCTTGAAATAAATATTTCTCTTGTAATCAGTAGATAATGCACCTTTTGGTTCTGTTGAATTAATGGGTTGGTTTTGAAAAGTGCATCATTTATATTTTTAATTACATCATCATCTGCCTCAATGTTCTGATCAGCAAACACTTCTTTGATTCTTTGAAATCAAAATAAAAACATGTCACTAATTTCCTCAATAATTCTCTGCAAAGCACTTTTAGAAACATGTAACAATGTTTGCATGCATAAAAAAAGTTGAGCTATTTTATGTTCAAGACATTGGTAATCTACAAACTCATTGTCCTCTTTATCACTTGATGCTACACTTGAACCATTTGGTAATGTCTCTGCACTCAAAAAAATAATTCATTGGATGAACTTCATTTTATCTTGCCACTTATATTCCATCTAAACAAATCATGTTATATTAATCCATCTTGATTGTGTTGTTTCAAGACGATATATGTTTGTAAGTGTAACATAATTTAAACATTAACACTTTGGCACATCAAAAGTCAGTCTTGTTACATGAACTAGTAAAATATTTGTTTGTTACACCAATGTTAATCTTGTTGAATGAACAAATGTAATTTATGTCTGTAGTACTTACACCAATCATGTTTCAGTTAGTTTTTGTATTGCTTATGTAAACATTACTTTTAATTAAATTAATGAAACATACATAA